ATTGGGTGGTTTTTTTTTTTTTTTTTTGTTTCCTTGTATTTCAAATTGCTGATTTGGTTCTTGGCTTCATCTACTCTTCTCTTGAATCCCTGTAAACTGTTCTTTACTTCAATTAGTGTATCCTTCATTTCTGACTGGGATTTTTAAAAAATGTTATTGAGGTCCTTTATGTTATTAAGTTCCTTGAGCATCTTTATAACCAGTGTTTTGAACTCTGCATCCAGTAGATTGATTGTCTCATTTTGTTTAGTTTTTTTTCCTGGAGTTTTGATCTTTTCTTTCATTTGGGTCACATTTATTTGTCTCCTCATTTTGGTAAACTCCCTGTGTTTGTTTCTATTTATTAGGTAGAGCTGCTCTGACTCCCTGGCTTTGTAGAGTGGCCTAATGTAGTAGGTGTTGTGTAGAGTCCAGAGGCACAGCCTTCTCTATCACCCAAGATGGGTACTCAAGTTGTGCCCACTATGTGGACCATGTATACCCTCCCCTTGTAGTTGAGCTTTGATTCTCTTGGCACATCCAAGTTCAACCACTGACTGTGTTCTGTCCAGGGTCATACAGCAGAGACTACAAAGTGATCTGCAGTTGGCTGCTACTTGTGCTGGGCTTGGAGGTGCCCAGGTGAGGCCAAGCTGTGAACCAAGGCCAGCTGCTGCTAGTGCCACACCTGGGGAAACTTATATGAAGAGGTATAGGGCTCACCAAAGCCAGATGCTGCTTGTTTGAGAGAATTTAGGGAAATCTGAAGCATGAGCCAAGACAAGCCATTTTTATGGAAAAGCCACTGGAAACAGCTTTAGTGGGCCTGAAATTTGGGTGGGGTCAGGCCTCAGGGAATCACCAGGGAGGGGCAAAGAGTGTGAGCCAGGTTGATGGAGTCTCAGATATGGCATCTGCCTGCCAGCTCTGTGACTCTGTGGGAGGAAGGCTCAGAAAAGGAACAATGGCCTTTGCTAGCACTTCTGTTTGGGAGAAAGTTGCTCCCCAGCTATCTCCCTGAGGCTGGACAATTCAGTTTCTCCCCATATGTCTCTGATGCCTTTCAATCTGCTGCTCCTGTGCTGGAGCTTAAAAGGAGTGAGTCCAAGTAAATTATGTATGGGCCCTATAAGAGGAACTGCCTAAGACTTCAGCAGTTTCTGTCTTCCACAGCCTTAATCCCCACTGGTTTTTACAGCCAGAAGTGATGGAGACATGTTTTCCTGGCACTAGAGCCCTGGGTTCAGGGTCCTGGTTGGGGCTGAGACTTCTTGCTCCTCAGATAGCCCTCTTGATTTTTATGTGCCACATGTGGGTGTGGAACCAGCCAATTCCATGTCTTCACCCCTCCTTCCAGTCTTGATTAGGTTTCTTCTTTAATTCTGTAGTTGTAGGACTTCCACTCAGCTCAATTTCTGATGGCTTGGAATGATGGTTGTTCTATACCTTCATTATAATTTTGATGTGTTTGTACAAGGAGATGTAATTTTGGTTTGTTCTTTCATTTGGGCCATGTTTCCTCATTTTGGCGGCACCCCCTGTGCTTGTTTTTATGTATTAGGTAGAGTTGCTTTGACTCCATGTCTTGGTAGTGTGGCCTAATGTAGTAGGTGTACTGTAGATTCCAGTGGCACAGCCTCTCCCCTATCACCCAAGGCGGGTACGCAACTTGCACCATTTGTGTGACCTGAGTACACTCTCCTCTTGTAGTTGAGCCTTGGTTGCTGTTAGCAGATCAATGGTAAGGATTTACCCAGGCCAGTCAGCTGCAAGGATTGGTTGTGACCACTTACCAGCAATCTCTGCCTTCCGTGGAGGATCAGCTGTGCAGAAGCAGGGTCATTGTGTTCCTACGTGGTCTGTAGCTGTCCATTGGGTGTGTAGGTTCTGTGGTTTCCAGGGTGGTGCAGGACAAAGTCAGCCCCTACTGTGTTTTGCCCAGGGAACACTGCTTGGGCTGTAAAACAATCTGAGATGGCTGATACTTGTGTTGAGTTTGGAGGTTCCCAGGTGGAGCCAAGCTGTGACTCTAATCTGGCTGCCTCTAAGCCTCACTGAAGCCTGCTGCTGCTTGTTTGATAGGATTTAGGAGTCAAGACCAGCCATTCATATGGAAAAGCAGCTTGGGTGGGCCGACAAGTTGGGTTGGGTAGAGCCTCTCTGGATCTCCAAGGTGGGTCCCATAGTGTTAGCCAGGTTGATGGAGTCTCAGATATATCACCTGATTGCTGGATCTGCAGGAGGAGGGTTTAGAAAAGGGATAAAGGCCTCTGCTTGCCTTGTGTCAGACATTTCAGTTTCTCCCTGTTTACCTCCGGTCCCTTTCATGCTACTACCTTCATGCTGGAGCTCAGAGGGAGTGAGTTTGAGTATGTGAGTCCATGTGTGGGTTCTTTAAGAGGAACTGCTTGGGGCTTCAGCAATTTCTTCTACTGACTCCATTCCCTTATCTTCCTGGCACTGGAACCCTGGGCTCTGGGGCCTGGTGTGGGGCTGGGACTCCTCGCTCCTGAGATATCCCTCTTGAATTTTTATCCACTGCGCATGGGTGAGGCACCAGCCTGTTCCAAGTCCATGCCCCTTCTACCTTTTCTGGATGGATGTGGTTTCTTTAATTCTGTAGTTGTCAGATTTTCATTAAGCTCAATTTTTTCTTTTTTTTTTTAAAGATTTTATTTACTTATTTTCAGAGAGATGAGAATGGAGGAGAAAGAGAGGGAGAGAAACATGATGTATGAGAATTACTCTGATCAGTTGCCTCTCACATACCTCCAACTGGGGACCTGGCCCGCAACCCAAGCATGTGCCCTGACTGGGAATTGAACCAGTGACTCTGCAGCCTGCAGGCCAACACTCAATTCACTGAGCCACACCAGCCAGAGCTCAACTTGATTTTTGATGGTTCCGAGTGATGGTTATTCTATACTTTAGTTGTGATTTTGTTGAGGTTGTGGGAAGAGGTGAGCGATGTGCCTATGCTGCCCTCTTGACCAGAAGTCTTTGTCTGGATTTCTTATCTCAGATCCATCCTTACTCAGGATCTTCCTCTGGCTCTTTGTTTCCTCCACACCTTCTCTCTTCCTTTGTTCTTTACAAATCTGATTTCTTCTACTTTCATTATTCAGTCATAAAAAATAATGTCTGTGTTCATCTCTTGTCCCTTTTCTCTTCCTCCTTTATTTTATTTTTGACCCAGATTAGCAATACTAATCAGTAAAAGAGAACAACCTTTGAAATAAAAAAGATTGAAGTTTTTGAGTCTTGGATTTGCTCTTTATTGGCCTTAATGGTCTCAAATTCACCTTTGTGAATCTTATTTTCTTCAACTATATGACTGTGTCAATAAAATCTACTTCACAGTCTGTTGTGGGACACAAATGAGTTGATTTATTAAAAAGTGCTTAGAAAAAGTTGATGATGATGATGATGATGATGATTATGATTATCAGAGCGCAAGGTCTTTGCTTAGGTTAAATGGAAAGACATTGAGAAGGAAGAATTATTATTAGATCAATACTTTCTAAGAAAGTGTGCAAGAATAATAGTGGCAGTGCTAGAAGGGAGCCTCTGTGGGTCTTCTTGAAGTTCATGGTAAAGGGCATCATATGATGCTGACCTGGAGATGTGAAGGAATGAATACTAGACCTAGCTCATTTACAATATTTACATGGAGTAACTAATTAGTCTAGCTATCCATCTACTTATTATTTCATTGAATAAATTATTAACAAATCTTTATTGACTACTTTTCATGGAAGTACTAGGCAAAGTTGATAAGAAATTGTTACAGGTAGAGCAAAAAGCACATGAAAAGCTCTGAGAGATTGGTGCATTCAAGGAAATAAAAGATAATCGTTATGGCTGAAGCATAGATACAAGATTGTGAGTGGCAAGAAATATATTTGTAGCAGCATGTAGAGGCCAAGTCACACTTAGGAAGTTGAATTTGGTCTAAAGGAATCTATGAAAACATGCATTTGGGATTATTTATTTTTTTCCAGGAAAGTGTGACTGAAAGATAAGAAGGCAAGGTAATAGAAGATATTGGCAAAAGTGGTTGAGATTTTGGACTATGGAATCCTAACTGGATGAGAAGGGAAGTGAAGACAACAGAGGCTAATGCACAGAGGTATAGGGGAAGTGACTATCAAGGGAATCAAAGCAGCAGTATTGGGAGCAACTGAGCAAATGAAGGAATAAGATGTTGGTGAGAAAGTGGATGCCTGAGTTTATGGTTTCAGACATTTCATGAGGCAATCCTGGATGATAGCAAGATCCAGGATGGAACTATGGGAATGGATGACTGAAAAGGAGCGGAGTACATGCCTATCAGGTTGAGGAGGCTGGATTTTGGATGGGACACTAATGGGAATGTTTGAATCACTTGGAGTAGCAGCAGATCTCGGGATGGAGAGAAAGTCTGTGAAGCAAGTGCCAGTATCCTTGAGGAATGAAGGAGAGTTACCAAAAGGAAATGGTAGGCATATGGCCAAAACACAGAAACTTCAAGGAAATAGAGGACTTTAAAAGAAGGTGGGGCTTGTGATGGTCTCAAAGTGCAAGGAGTGAGACTGATTACATCGAGATCTGGATATACCTGGGTTTGCTGCAATAAATAGCCTCTACTTGGGTCTATTTTTACAGAGGTAATAAGGATTCTGATTTTGTATACATTATTTCTATGCAGGTCTTCATTATATATGTATGTACCCAACAAACAATATATGTATTGTTATGTGTGGTTTTAAGTTTCAAACAAATGACCTAGTAGTATGTATATTATTCTGCACCTTGCATTTTTCATTCAAGGTATTCATTGTGTTGGTTTTTTTTTTCCCCCCTGCAAAGTGCTTTATTGATTCTGTTGGGTCCCAGGGTGGTAAAAAGGATGCCCAGTGGTTTCAGGGGGAGGCTCAGGCTGAAGCCAGACACCAGCAGATGCAAGAGGGCCCCTCAAAGGCCTCTGGGCTCCAGAGGCTCCTAATCATGTTTGAGGGTGATTCTTTCAAAGAGACACTCACCTAACCCAGCCTGGGGGCTGGCAAGTGTGCAGAGGTTAGTCAGATGGTCACCCATCTTGATGAGTTTCACTTCCTCATCCAGGAAGTCACAGAGATGAAGGACTGTGCGGGCAGAGCTCAGGACTTGCAGTTCCAAGAGGGGCTGGGTCAGATTCTTCTCCATGGCCATGGCAGCTTCCATTGTGTCCTGAGTTCTATCTCGCATATCTTGGGAAGGCTTCTGCACATCCTGGACGAGGGTGCGGCCTGCTGAGCTGGCTTTGCATCTTCAAGAGTCCTTCTACACCCTCTTGCTTCTCCTCGGCCAGCTCTCAGAAGTGACCCACACCCTCCAGAGCTGCATATTTGTGGTTGAAATAGAAGGCTGGGGAGAGGTAGGTAAAGGGGGCCTACAAATGTGGTTGACCAGGTGGTTGATGGTGGCCTCCACCTCGGTGGAATAATTCTGATGAATTTGGGAGCTCATGGTTGTTGGTGAATAAGTAGTTAAACTCAAAAAATTGTGTTGGCTGCTCTTGGAGGCTGAAGATGGCTGGGATGATTCTGAAGGTGGTGACTGGAAAAGAAGTTAGAGGGCAATAGGTGGTAGGAAGAAGGGATATTTCTGGGTTTGTTCCATGCAAACACTGTTGAAGCAAGATACGGATCTGGGACCATGGAGGGCACTCAGGGGGCTGTTGTTTCTGAGGTTTGTTCATGTTGGTACTTGCTTTCATTCACATTAACTATTTTACAGTGATTTGTTTTATTGCCACCTATTTTGTATTCATTCTTCTGTTGATGAACATTTAGATTGTTTCCGGTTTTTGTTACTCTGAAAATAATGCACTGAACATAACTGTATATTCTCTACTTTCATTTTAGTGTGTCCAAGTGTAGATTTATATTTGATTTCTCTTATTTGGTATTTTGAATATATTTTAATGAGAACTTATATCTCTTTTTAAAAAATTAAAATTTATTTTTGTTACATCTCTTTTAAATTTTGAAAAATTCTCATTATCTGTTAAGTTAGTATTCTCCTTCAGTTTCTTCATTCTGTTTTTCTGGAACTCCTATCAGTAAATATTAGAGCTTCTCCACTGAAACTCCAGGTTTTTGTTCAGCTCTTTGATATTTTATCTTGTTGCCTCTCTGTGTTGTATTTGCTTTTTAAAAATTGTTGACACTATTACAGATGCCCCCTATTTCTCCACACTTTGCCCACCTCCACCCAGCCCCTGCCCTGGCCTTCTCCACACTACTGTCTGTGTCCATGGACTATGCATATATGTTCTTCACCTTCTTTTATCCAGGCTCCCCTACTCCTTCCCCTCTGAGATCTGTGTCATTCTGTTCCATGTATCCATGCCTCTGGTTCTATTTTGTTTATTTTATTCATTAGATTCCACGTACAAGTGAGATCACATGGTATTTGTCTTTCTCTGATTGGCTTATTTTGTTTAACATAATAATCTCCAGGTCCATCCATGCTGTTGCAAAATATAAGAGTTCCTTCTTTTCTTTTTTCTTACAGCTGTGGAATAGTCCATTGTATAAATGTACCACTTTTTAAAAAAATTTATAAATTATTTTATTTTATTTTATTTTTTTAAATTTTATTTTAATTTATTTTTTCAAATACATTTGTCTCTGCCTCCCCCCATCACTTTCCCTTGCCCCCTCCCTCCGCCCCTCCCTCAGCTCTTCCCCTTTGGTTTTGTCCATGAGTCCTTGCCATATGTTCCTTGACTTTCCCCTTCCCTTCCTTTCCCCCGCCCCCCCACCTCTTCCCTCTTGTCTCTGTTGATTTCTTTTCCTTTCAGTGTTGCTGGTCTTATTTTCCTTGCATCTTTGTATTGTTGGTTAGGTTCCGCTTATAGGTGAGATCATATGGTATTTGTCTTTCGCTTCCTGGCTTATTTCGCTTAGCATAATGCTTTCCAGTTCCATCCATGCTGTCGTGAAGTTTAGTAGTTCTTTTTTTATTTCTGCTGCATAGTATTCCATTGTGTATATGTACCATAACTTTTTGATCCAATCATCTACTGATGGGCATTTAGGTTGCGTCCAACACTTGGCTATTATAAATTGTGCTGTGATGAACATTGGGGTGCATAGGTTCTTTTGTATTGGTGTTTTGGTGTTCTTAGGGTATAGTCCCAGCAGGGGAATCACTGGATCAAAAGGCAGTTCCATTTTCAGCTTTTTGAGGAAATTCCACACTACTTTCCGCAGTGGCTACACCAGTCTGCATTCCCACCAACAGCGTACTAGGGTTCCCGCTTCTCCACAGCCTCACCAGCACCTGTTGTTTGTTGATCTGTTTATGATGGCCATTCTGACCGGTGTGTACCACATCTTTTTTATCCACTCATCTACTGATGGGCACTTGGGCTGTTTCCAGATCTTGACTATTGTAAACAATGCTGCTATGAACATAGAGGTGTATATATTCTTTCTGATAGGATTTTTGGTATTCTGGGTGAAGTATTCAATATTATCTTGCAATTCACTAATTCTTTACCTGTGTCAATTCTAAGTTTATTTCACTGTTGAGACTTTAAACATTTCAATGACTATATTTTTCATTTCTGATTTTCAAATGTGTTCTTTTACATATCCATATGGACTTGTAATTCTGCCAAATGCTTCATGATTTCTCTCTTGTGTTATATGTAAATTATTCATTCGCTGTCTTTTTAAGAATCTTAAACACTTATTTTAAAGTATTTCCAGAGTTTTAATATTTCAATTTTATCTAGTGTAAATTTACCTTCCACCTGTTGATTTCTGGCTACCTTTTGTAGACTTAGGGTGTTTTCAAGTGTTTGGAATGTTGGCTATCAGACTCATTTTGAGTGGGAGAGCATGCTTGCACGTATGCATGTGCACACACATTTCCTGGTTATGTAGCTATGTGCTACCTTGCTTCCCTAGACATGCTCTGTATAAGCTTTTGCCTTAGACATTGGCAGATAGTAGGGTTTTTTTTTTCATTTCTCTTTAATGAAAAAGAGGTTCTGATCCCAGCCCCTCATTTCTGGAGTGACTCTGGCTTTAGTTCCTGTTGCAGGTGGACTTTTCATCTCTGTGAACCTGCAGGAGCTGAACTTAGAGCTGCCTTTACCTGGAATTCTGCAGGCCCTTAGCTTCAGCCCTAGTGATAGACTTTACTAATAGTTTTCTTACATTAGTGGCCCATGGGGATGCTTATCTTACTTTTGAACCACTATATGCCTTTTTAATTTTCTCTTTTTGCATGTTTTCAATTATTTATGTGCTTGCTCTATGTAGGGTATCTTAAAGAATGGACTTACAATGCAATATTGAGCAGAAAGTCCTATTAATAACTTAAAATTTTTAACTCAATCCATTATAAACCTGACCTGTTTCCTTTTTATTAGGAAAATAAACATGTGGTCTAAGTGGAGAAGTCTGAGAAAGGTTTCCCAAGTCTTCTTTTTCTTTTCTTCTCCAACTGCTTTCCTTTCTTGTCTCTCCCATTTGTTACTGTTTTCTCTTCCCTTCCATTCCCCCTGCCCCCGCTTCTCCTTCTCTTTCCATTCCCTAGTACCGTGTTCCCCTTTCTTCCTGTCTCTTCCCTCCTTTTCACATCCCTTCTCTGACTCTTCCCTCCAAAATGTCTCCTCTATTTTCACTTTCTGATGGTGTCTCATTGCCCCAGTGCTGTCTGTGTGCTCTAATGCCAGGTCACAGGAAGGGGCAGATGCGCATATGGTCACAAGCGGTCAGGGCTGCACTCCAAGGAAGGGCTGGCCCTTGGTGATGTTGTGACCACAGGGAGAGAGTGTGTCCTGACTTTGAGGACAGGTAGGGTGACAGGAGAAGCTGATATTTATTAAAATATGTTATAGACCAATCAATGCACACAAAGGGATTTACTGTATATCTTTTTTAATTTTCACAACAATCCTGTTGTGAATATTATTATTAAAAAGATTTTATTTATCTATTTTTAGAGAGAGGGGAAGGGAGGGAGAGAGAGAAACATCATTGTGTGGTTGCTTCTTGAGTGCCCCCTACAGGAGACCTGGCCCACAATCCAGGCTTGTGCCCTGACTGGGAATTGAACCACTGGCCCTTTGGTTCGCAGGCTGGCACTCGATCCACTGAGCCACACCAGCCAGGGCTATTATTATTATTTTATTCCTTTCATAGTACAGATGGGGGGGTCTGAGACTCAAAGAGGTTATGTAATTTGCCTAAGCTAGTAGTATGTGGCAAAACTGGGATCAAAACATAGATAGGTCTGCTTCTTTCCTCTATACCACAGTACCATGTACATTCGACCAATGATTAAAAAGATGACACTTTAAATTGGCATTTATAGCTTTAGGAGTTGGCAGGGGACTGTAGATGGGGGTCAGGTGGTAGTGGGAGTGAGGGGAAGGGCTTGGAGCTTTCTCAAAACCCTTGAGAAAATATCATAAGGGCAGTCCCATGCTTTGTGCAGGGCTTGGGACCCATACCTGCGGCGCCTCCTGGACAGTTCGCTACCTATCTTGGGACTGTGCTCTCAATGCCAGTCACATGGCACGTAAACAAACTCCTCTGGGGGGTGAGTCATGCACCTGGAGAAGGGCGCTGGGTTCTTGTTTGGGGAATCTGATGTGCTCCGTGTTCACTCTATCCTGATCCTCTCTCCAGGACACTGTCACATACAACACAAGATTTCACTTTTGACTTTAATGCAAAGAAAAACCATCATAGGAACATTGTTAAAACTCAAATACAGCCTAAGTCGTGACGATTTCCCAAGCAATTTTCCCGATAGGGACATTTTCTGTTCTTTTATTCTTGCTCTGTGTTCCCACTCAGTCCACTTGAGGCAGTTGTCTATTCCAGATTTTCTACTTTCCTGAAGATCCTCTCACTGGCCCCTTTGGTGCAACTGTCTTATTCCCACTACGCAGGGTTACGTCTCTTTACGTCCATGAGCAACTGTATTTTCTTTTTTCTTGCTCTGTTTTCCTGTAATCATCCCTCTCACCCCCGGAAAATTTGTTCTGTTGTTTGATAGATTAATATCACATATTAACATAAAACCAGGTTAGGCCCCTTCAAGATAACGGAGGCAGACAGTGAAACATAGCTGATTGACACCTGTGAAGAAGGAAAGGTGCCACAGAAACATAGCACTCAGCTCCTTCTACGTGAAAGCAGAGAACAGATCTAGGC